TCATCCCGCCCCCTTGACCTGGCCGTCCTCCCTGGACTGACCTATCCCCTTCCAACTCCCCACCTACACTCACCTTTACTGGCTCCATCCCCGCCTCTTCGACCTGTTTGTTTCCTCTCCACCTATCCTCTCCTCTATCCATCTTCTATCCGCCTCCCAATCTCTCCCTATTTATTTCAGAAACGCCTTCCCCTCCCCCTTTTCTGATGAAGGGTCTCGGCCCGAAACATCAGCCTCTCTGCTCCTGTGATGCTGCTTGGCCTGCTGTGTTCATCCAGCCCTGCACCTTGTTGTCTCCGATTCTCCAGCATCTGCAGTTCCTACTACCACTGTTCAACAATTCTTTTGATATATTTATTGTCAGTTTACAATTGATAAGTCACACTGAAGGTGGTAATGTACACATTACAACCATTAAAACAGCCATAGAAGCATTATAAAATAGCTTTTCAATTCATGGTCTTCCAGACAAAGTTGTCTCTGACAATGGTCCACAGTTCATGAATGAATGCTTCAAGAAGAGGAACGTGGAATTAATCAAGTTACTAGTTCTCCTCTTCACTGACGGGCCAATGATAATGTTGAGAAAGTGGGGAAACAAGCACTGAAATGCCCATGATTGGCAGTAGTGATCGTGATTTCAGCCTTGCTGATCTATACAGCATCCCACTTGAGTAATAAATTGCTTATATACTGAAGGTTATGAATACTAATGCCATTATTGGAGAAGAATCAAAGACCAAATATTACCTCAGATGACAATGAGTAAGATTCAATGAGAAAAATAGAAGAACAGGCATAACTCCAAGCATAGAGTGAAAACTTTAATCAAAGTTAGCATCTGATGAATAGTATGGGTCAGAGATCAAAACCTTCAAGCCGCAGTCCTTAGACCAACTGAACATACATAATCCTTACTCATTCAAACTGTGTTTTGAAACTTCAAAAGAAACAGCAATGTTCTCAAATTATTAGGGGCTGCATGAAAAAAAATCAGTGTGAATATTGCAAGCTTTGGAATGATTTTAGGACACCATATTAATCATCTCAGAAAACGGTGAGATAATGAACAAAGCGATTCAAGATCGTCATCCACAATCAACGTACGAAGGATAAAATTATGGGAACCTTTGAAAACAAACATAAAGGCTTGAACTGTAAAGTTTAGACTTTGGGGTGGGGGAATAGTGTCAAAGTAAATAATTTAAACAAATTTAAGAAATTAGCTTAACATACGTTGTTAAAGAAGTGTGATATATTGGGAGGAAATGTAGAATAAGATAATGATGTCTATTATGTTGTAGCTGACATCAACAGTCATGTGCTAGACATCAAGAATAGAGAAGCAGTAGTCTGTACCAGAGAGTGAGAGAGAGAGAGAGAAAGAAAGAGAGACGTGCTATTTAGATTTAGATTTAGACTTTATTGTCACATGTATTCAAGTACAAACTGTACAGAAGTACAGTGAACAGTTTTCATTGTCACCACACACGGTGCGATCTTAGGTACAAGTACCTAGGTACAAAAACTTAAGAACAAGGTAGAAAGAAATAAGAAACAAAGTTAAAAGTTAAACAGTTCAGTCCTTCTTAGTATTAAGTTGAAAAATAAAGAAATAAAGCTAAAAGTTCAACCATTGCAGTTTTTCTTAAGTGCTTAGCCATGCTGGGACCACACTTCCCTCAAGGGCTCGATCTCCTCCGCTTTGGCATGTTTTCCCCATGCAGACTTGATCTCCCCTGCTCTCATCATCACTGTAGATGTCAGGGGAACTCTCCATCGCTGTGTTAGGCTCACTCCTGGGATCTTAGACTGCCGAGGTCGCAATCCAGGCCTTTAGCCACTGCCACATACTGGACCACCAAACACCCAATCCAAATGCCATCTGCACTGATTCTCAGCATTGCCTTCAGCCCATGCACAGATCCTTGGCTTCACTTTTGGTCCGCACCGGGCAATGGGGACACACCGAGAGTTCTGGTTCAGGTCCCCAAATGCTGCCTCGCCCTGGAAATCTAGCCCTGCCAAATTCAACAAGCCTGATAGCGCTGCCACTGCCATTCTCCAGAAGGTATGTTAGTTGAAATACAACCTAAAACTAAAAAAAAAACTTTTAAATGAGAAAAGAAGAAAACAGAAAGGGAGGAAGAAGAGCAGAGTGGATGGGCCCATTCCCCTGCCATCTTGCAGAAATTCACAGTACAGTATGCATTACAGTATAAATCAAATGAATTTTTCAATAGTCAGATAAACAGTTACAAGAAGAGACATCCATAGAGGATCCAAAAGTAAGGGCAAACCACTTGGTTTATCAGGGTCATTCTCGTCATTCTGTTATTCTAGTCATTCCGTCATTCTAGCATTTTAGTTATTCTAACAGCATGATACAAAATTAAAAAAACTTGAGAAAAAAAAAACACATTAACAGGCTATCAAGGTGATGTTATTATGGGGTCAATTGTAAGGACCCTGGAGAAATCTTGTAATTATGTCACACATCTTCTTTGATTACTATATAGAGTAGAATTTAGAAGGCTAAGCCTGAAAATAATTCTTGATTTTGTCTTCTCCTTGACCAGTCTGTCTTGAACCCAAACTGTTGGATGTGTCCATAAAACCATGTAACAAAAGAATTTCCAACGGATTACTTCCGTAAACCAAACATTTTTTTTAAGTTAATGCTTCTCTTTTTGAAAGTATAACAAAAGAATTGGTATGTAGAAGCATTGAAATTTACCAATTGAAGAAATTCTGTTTACTGTAATGGTCTCTCTCTCTCTCTCAACCATTCCTTGTGGCAGAGGATTCAATCTCCAGTGATTGGGGAGCACAGTATGTCAGTGCAAAAGTGAAGGCTAAAATATTTGTACACATCTTCACCAGCTCCTGACATCACTGATACCAGCCTTTTATAAACTCCACTCATTCCATGGGATATCATGAAATGGCTGAAGGTACCGGATACATCAAAAGCTATAAGGTCTCATAACATTTCAATTGATAATGTATTCCAGAAATTGCTGCACCCATAATCAAGCTGTTCCAGTACAGCAACACACTGGCAACTAACCAATAATGTGGAAAATTGTCTTGTTGTATTTATTCACAAAAACCTGACTTAGCCAATTACCCATTCCATCTATATACTCTCAATAATCAGCAAACTGATGGAAGGTATTGTCAACAGTGATATGATGTGCCATTTTTTCAGTAATAACTTGCTCCTTGATGCTTAGTTTGAGTTCTGCCAGGGTCACTCCGCTCCTGCCAAATCACAGCCTTGCTCCAAAGATAGATAAAAGAGCTAAATTCCAAAAGTAAGATAAAAGTACCTGACCTTGATCTAAAGACAGTAATTGGCTGAGTGTGACATTAAAGATCCACAGCAAAACTGAAGCTGGAAAACAAAAACTGTTTAGAATCGGGGAAAACTTTCCACTGTTTGGAATCATTCCACGCACATAGGAAATTTGTTGTGGTTGCCTGAAGTCATGAGTACTGTAATAATAATGTCCAGATTCAACCATCGTAAGCTGTTACATTAAATACCTTCCATTCATCTTAAGGTCAAAAGCCTCCACAAATACTAACACCTGAAGAAGGAGCAAGGCTCCAAAAGCATGTGTTTTCAAATAAACCTATTGAACTATAACCTGGTGTCATGTGATTTCTGAACAAATACTGAGGACAGTGACCCCAAGCAGCAAAGCTTGGACAATATTCAAGCTGGGCTGGTAAGGAATGGCAAGTAACATTCATGTCGCACTCATGCCAAGCAATGACTATCTCCAACAAGAGAAAAAAACCCATCTCTATTTGGCATTCAACAGTACTATCTTCACTGAATCCTTCACCAACACCAGGAAGGTTGATATTTTCATCATGTTTCATTGACCAGAAGTTTAATTGTACTCTCACTAGTATTCCAGCTTCAAAAGTAAATCAGAGGCTGGGAACGTTATGGCAAGTGATTTGTAGACGCTGTCACATGTGGGGCAGATGGTGCTTGAAGGTTGTATAGATGCGGTGTTTGGAGGCTTGTGCAGCAATTTAATTAGCCAACATTTAGATATAGACAAAGCTATTAAATAAAGTGTCACTGATTCAAACCACCAATAACAACAAATTGCATTCATATAGGACCTTTAACACAGAAAATATCCTTGATGCTACATAGGACATTGCTTAGTGGATAGAAAACCAGAAAAGAAGTTGTAAAATAAAGGGTTCTAAATTGATAGCTGCTGGTATCAGAAACAAGGATTGCTGTACATAATCACAACTTGCTAAACTGAGTTACGCCAGCAGCACACAAACATCGCTCATGTCAACAGTTATTACATGCTGACCAGTTGAGAATATACTGCCTCATGAAAGCACACCTAAGCATGGGGTCCAACCTAATTAAAGGTTAGCCCCGCTTAAAGTTAGCCTGCACCACTTTTAGCCAGCTGGCCCTGAATGGAACTGCCCATGCCAAGATGATGCAGTCTAAGGCCAAGGGCTGCTTCAGGCCTGCAGTCTCTCCAAGAGAAAGGCAGCAGACTTCCATTAACATGCTACAGCTATTGCAGTAGCACTGAATAAGGGTACTAGGACAGAAACAAGTATACACAAAATAGGCACTAAGGGAAAGCACTAGGGTGTTTAGTCGAGCACTGTGCCTATGTCTGACTTCACGGTTTTGTCTGGAAGCAACACAGCATCAAGCTAAAGAATAAAATCAACCTCAATCAGGTGTTGTCCTTACCATCCTGCTATATGGGCAGCATTAAACATGTGAAAATGTTCTAGATTGGTTGTGAGGTGTGTTTGAATTTCTTCCCTTCAGACATCTGCTTCAGAGCTGTGCAGGAAGAGGGAATCAGCTCCTCTGTTTTTAATCCTGTTCAGTCGGTTGCAATAAATATTACTATTTCCTTTTAGCCTGCAGCAATCAGCCATCGATTGAAAATATAGTTTATTACATAAAAAATGAAGCAGCCAGTTACAAGGTTTCCTTGAGTTCAAGACAGAGGACTTTTATTATGGTCACAACTGGATTCAGTGTACTGATGATTCAGCTCCATTATTTGACACGCCCCATCACAAATGTTTTGCTAGAAAATTAAAAAACCGAGATGATCAATTTGCCTGACTGACTGCCACTCAGCCAAATGTAATTCACATCAGGTTTCAGCAGGAACGGAAAAATAATTCTATTTATTGTAAACATATCTATTATTAACAATATCAAATAAAAATGAATTAGACATTACTACTACGCAACTTAAGCTATAGAGTCTTTGATTTAGGACAGTTATGGAAAAAAATAAGGATGGGGCAGGAATAAAGTCATAAACTTGGAAAAGACTAATTTTACTGTGGCAAAGAAATGTAAGTCATTCAAGGATGAAATAGCAAGAATGCAAGGCCAATAACCTCCCAAAAAGACAAAGGATGTGACCAAAACCAGACAACCCTCAATGGCACGAGACATAAAGGTTAGGATTAAGAAAAAAAACAGAAGCTTATTGCAAATACCAGGGATTCATCACGGCAGAATGTCAGAATCCTTAGAGGAGTTTAGAAAGGGAGGGGAGTATATTAGAAAGGAAAGGAGGAAAGCAAAGAGGTTGCATGAGAAAGCACTGGCAAGTGGAATGATAGCAAACTCAAAGGGGTATTCAAGTATATAAACAGCAAGAGAATAACTTGGGAAAGAAGAGGGCTCATTAGGGACCATAAAAGTAATCAGTGCATGGGCCTTGAAGATGTGGGCAGTCCTTAATGAATACTATGCATCAGTCTTCACAATGGAAAAGGACAATGCAGGCATAGTCATCAGAATTATATAATATTAGAAGAAAGTAACATAGAAAGGGAGAATGCATTAGCAGAATTATTAGCCTTAAAAGTGAATATATAAGCCCGGATGAAGTATATCCTCCCAGGCTGTTGAGAGAGGCAGGGGAGGAGTTATCAGGGGCCCTGGCAGTAAATTTCAAATTCTCCCTTGGTACAAGTGAGGTGCCAGAGACTAGAAGGCTGCTGATGTTGTCCCATTATGAAAGAAGGGATAGAGCAGGAAATTACACGCTGGTCAGTCTAACCTCAGTTGTGTGGTAGTTATCAGAGAGAATTCTGAGAGACAGAATATATCTGCAAGTGGAGACACATGGATTAATCAAGTATTGTGAGCATGGATTTGTTTTAGGAAGGTTGTGTTTGACAAATTTGATTAAATCTCTTGAAGAGGTAACAAAGAGCATTGACAAAGGGAGTTGATGTTGTCAACATGACCTTTAGCAAGGCTTTTGATAAAGTCCTTCATGATAGATTGGTTAAAAAAGTAAGAGCCCATAGGATCCAAGACCAAGTGGCATGTTGGATCCAAAATGGACCAAGAGGCTGAGAGAAGATGGTACAGGGATATTTCTGTGACTGGAAGTCTATTTCCAATGGAGTTCTGCAGAGCTCCATGCTGGGGCCCTTGCTGTTTGTGCTGTACAATAATAATTTGGACTTAAATGTAGAGGTTATGATCAAGGAATTTCTGTACAATATGAAAATTGATAGGGAAGTAAATAGTAAAAAGTATTGCTATAAACTGCAGACAAATATCAACGGACTGCTCAGGTGGGCAGAACCGTGGCAAATGGAATTCAACCCAGAAAAATGTGAGGCAATGTAATTGGAGGGAGCTAAGAGGCAAGGGATTACGCTATGAATGGTGGGAACCTGGAGAGTACAGAAAATTTGAGGGACCTCTGTGAGCATATCCACAGATCTTTGAAGGTAGTACGGCAGGCAGATAGGATACTTGCTTTTATTAGCTGAGGCACAGAATACACAGGGTATGGTTTATCTACATAAAATGTTGGCTAGGCTACAAGTGGAGTACTATGTCCAGCTCTGGTCTCTGTTTTGGAAGGATGTGTTTGCACTAGGGAGCATGCAAACTGATTTACCAGGATGCTGCCTGAGCTGGAGGGTCTGAGCTTTGAAGAGGCTGGAGTCATTTTCTTTGGATCAGCAAAGGTTGAGAGGGAACCTGATCATGGTGTATCAGTATATGAGGGCATAAAAAGAATGGATAAGAAGTTACTTTTTTCCATTAGAAGAGGAGTCAAACAGGGGGATAGAAATTTAAGGTAACAGATAAAAAGCTAGGAGGAGAATTGTTTTTCACTCAGGAAGTGGCAGGAGTCTAGAATTCACTGTATGAAAGGGTGGTTGAGTCAAGCAGTATTTAGCTTTCCACTTGTGTTGCTGTAGTCTCCAAGGCTCCAAAGTTGGAAAATGTGATTAGCATACTCAGATCTTTGCTGACTAGCCCAGACATAATGGGCTGAATGGTTTTGTTCTGTGCTGTAAACATCTATGACTCAATGAGGCTATATGCTTGAGCAACAAGGAGTACATCACAATTATGTGGAGCAATGAATGTATTGTTGGATGGATTTGGCATGGAATGGTTGTCTTGCTATGTTCAGTTTTTCTTTGAGAAATGTTGAGATTCTGAGGTCAGCCATGAGTATGGATGGGCAGTCAGAGGAGAGTGATTTAGGTAGGAGTAGTCAGGTGTAAGTAAACAAAAACCCCAGAGAATCACACTGTAGGAACTACATATTGCTTTGGAGAACGTGCCGAGGAGATTCACCAAGGCATTACTTGGGATAGAGCATTTCAGCTATGAAGAGAGATAGCTAGGTTAGTTAGGATCATTTTCCATGGAGCAGAGAAAGCTGAGGAAGACCTGATTGATAGCTACAAAGCAATTAGAGGCATAGATAGGGTCAATAGGAATAAACCATTCCCCTTATTAGAGGGCTCAATTATCAGGGTGCATAAAGTTAATGTGAGAGGCAGGAGCTTTAAAGGGGGGATTTAAGGATAATTTCTTTTCACCCAGAGGGCTATAGGTATCTAGAACTCACTGCCTGAAAGAGTGATAGCGGCAGGAACCATTACAACAGTTAAGAAGTATTTAGAAGAATACTTGAAATGCCATAGCATGCAAGGTTATGGACCAGGTGCTGTGAAATGGGATTACAGTAGACTGATGCGAGATGACCAGCAAAGACTGGATAGACATAGGGCTTCTTACTGTTCGGTAATGTGACTCAAGATCAATTGAGAAGGTAAACAGGAGATTGAACGAAGGTGTTTACTACTCTGAGAGATGTGAACAGAATAGATAGGGAGAGACTGCTTCCAATTGTGAAAGGATCAAGAACAAGAGTGCACAGAAGAAATTAGCAAACGAAACAAAAGCAATGGTGAGGGGCTTGGGTGTACTGCCGGAGTGCACAATGGATGAAGTAGTTTGATTGTTTTTGCAAAGGAGCAACATATATAAATCCATTACTGAAAATTTTTTTTGATAATTGTAACACAGTCACCATTAGGCTAGATTTTATTGAATTTAAGTCCCCCCCACCACACCAATGGGCATAGTAGATTCAAACCCATAAGTCATAGGAGCAGATGGGGGCCATTCGGCCCATCAAATTTACTCTGCCGTTCAATTAGATCTTGACTGATCTGATCATCGTCAATCCACTTTCAATTCTTTTTCTCCAAACCCTTCACTCACGTACTGCTGGAAAATCCATCCATTTCAGCCTTGAATATACTTAATGATCTAACTGCTATAGCCATCTACAGTAAAGGATTCCACACACACACAACACTCTGAGAGAAGAAATTCCACCTCATCTCTGCCCTAATTAGGTGATCCCCTACACTGGCATTATGCCCCCGGTCCTAAACCTCTTCGCATCTACTCTGTCAAGTCAGCAGGTCCAGTAGCATCTGTCAGCATCCATCAGGTGCCAGACTTGATCAGATTCTCCAGCAACTTCCATTGTTTGGTTTCAGATTTCCAGCATATGCAGTTATAGAGTTACAGAGATATACAGCACAGAAACAGACCCTTCGATCCAATTTGTCCTTGTTGACCAGATATCCTATAAAAATTTAGTCCCTTGTGCCAGCATTTGGCCCATATCCCTTAAACCCTTCCTATTCATACACCCATCCAGGTGCCTTTTAATTGTTGTATTTGTACCAGCCTCCACCACTTCCCCTGGCAGCTCATTCCATACACACACCAACCCGTGCATGAAAAAGTTGCCCCTTAGGTCCCTTTTAAATCTTTCTCCTCTAATCATAAGCCTATGCCCTCTAGTTTTGCACCCCCCAGCACCTTGTCTTTTTACCCTATCCACGCCCCTCGTGATTTTACAAATTTCTATAAGGTCACCCCTCAGCCTCCAATGCTCCACAGGGAAAATAACCCCAGTCTATTCAGCCTTCCCTATAGCTCCAACCTTCTAACCCTGGCAACATCCTCATAAATCTTTTCTGAATTGTTTCTAGTTTCACAACATCGGAAACCAGAACTGCATGCAGTAATCCAAAAGCGGCCAAACCAATATCCTGTACAGCTGCAACATGACTTCCCAACTCATATACTCAATGCACTGACCAACAAAGGCAAGCATACCAAACGCCTTCTTCACTATCCTATCTACCTGTGGTTCCACTTTCAAGGAACTATGAGCTTATTTCGTTTTGCCAAGTCCACGGCTAAGACTTGAGGCCTGGGATGTGGGGGGGGGGGGGGGGGGTGGAGGGGGGTCGTGCCTATTGGGGCCGGACCACAATAGGCTGAATGACCTCCTTCCGCGCTCTGTGAAGGTTCTGCGATCAACAGGTGGAGTGCGCAAAACAAAAATCCCAAAAAGAAATCACCAAGTCAAGAAGCCGCTAGCAGTAAACCTCTCCGAGAAACAGAGACAGGCAACGGGGAAGGTCCTCCATCATCTCCTCGCCTCCTCCTGTTACCAAGGCAACGCAGCTCCCACCGCCCTCCGTCACCACGGAAACGCCGATCGACCGATGACGCGTCCCTTGTTTATGCTGAGCGGCCGAGTCGGCGTGCACGAGCCGGAAGCCGCCCGCCATTGGCCGGCCGTCTCTGCACGCCTGCCCGCCCGTCCAATAGCGGCGCTGTGCACGCGGCAGCCCGAAAAGCGGATTGGTGATCACGCTCTGATCAGCTGGACAGCAGGCAGCGCGGGTAGCAGCACACTCATCCCCCTCCCGATGCTGCGAGCCTCCGCCCATCTCCACCGCGCAACCTAACTCCGGGTGGAGGGGGCGGGGCGGACAGTTGAGTGACACAGCTCTTCACCAATCGAAGGTGGAAGTCCCACGGAAAGGGGCGGAACGAGGAGTGAGACAGCCAATGGATTTGAAAGGGGTGGCGGTTGCCGGGCCGTCAAGGTGAGGTTACGCCGGGAAAGGGGGAGGGTTGTTGTGGAGCATGGTTGGGGCTGAGAGTGAAGCAGTTAGTCAGACGGAGGATTTCTCCCCAGTTGGGAGGTAGCAGTGATTTATTTCCCCCCACTAATCCCCCGCCCTCCGGAGCGGCTAATGCGACAAAGGAGGTGCTGATATCCATGTCGGAATCAGCTGAGTCAAAGCGGCTGGGTTTCTGATCAGCGGGCGAAGGGCTGTGTTCATTGACCCCTTTCGGGAGAGCGGCCATGGGGGTGAAGCTGAGGGATTTCGGCATCGTCTTAGTCGATGAGGAGCTTGGCGGCTACTCGAGCGGGGACCTGGTGTCGGGCCAGGTGTTGCTGGAGCTCAGCGAGGGCCTGGCGGTGACGGCCCTACGGCTGGAAGCCAGAGGCTGCGCCCGCGTCAACTGGATCGACAAGGCGGCGGCCCCGGGCTCGGCGGCGGTGCCCACCAGGTACCGGGAGGAGGTGGTTTATCTGCAGCATCGGCAAACCCTGCGAGAGGCGCCAGGTAATGACCAAACCGGAGTAGAGAGGTCTCTGTCTTTCTGGAGGTACCAGAGCTGTGACAAGTGTAGTAAGGGGCCACTCGGCCCGTCGTGCCCATGCTAGCCCCCTGCTAGAACAGTTTAGCTAATCCCACCCTCCCCTCTCCACACCCCTGTCCTCCATTCCTTTCCCCATCCCCCTTTCCCTCTTAGGCTGAGCTTTCCAGATCCCAACTACTTGCTATGTAAGGAAATTGCTCTTCTTGTCACCTTTACCCAGTGGTTCTCGATACTTCTGCCAATGACGAGTTTTTTTTTCACTATCTACTCCATCCAGGCTCCTCCTTGTTTTGAAAGCTTCTATCAAATCTCTCGCCCTCTCTTCCCATGAGAACGTCTCTCAGCTTTTTCCAGTCTTAACCTACACGACTGAGGGTTTCTTATTCCTGGAATCATTCTTGTGAATCTTTTCTGCAGCTTCTCTCATGTCTTTGTCCTTCTTGAGGTCTTCTGTCTTTGCCAGGACTTGGCCAGTAACTAATTTCTTTAAAAAGAGAAACATTGCCATGGGCTATTTGCAACAAGTCAAGCTCGGTAATAGTTTTGCATCTGTCATATTGGTATTTATGAGCAAAATCTTAAAGACCTTTCCTTTTGCAGGTTCATTGCTTTAAGTGATATATCTGTCCAGTCCCCAGTTCTGTCTAATGAAGTGTTTTTATGCTCTTCTATACAAGGGTGCAATGAGTGCAGCCTGTCAAACTACATTTTACATCATTTTAATCAACCTCTATAGGCATGTTTGCACACTTCAGAGAAGGTGGGTCACTAGAACACTACGTATTTAGTTTTATTTTTGAGCAAGCTAATCATCAATCTGAAAGTTCAGATAATTAATCTCTCACTTATGTTAATCAACCACTGACCATATTTTTTATGCAAAATCAGTACATGGTTGATGTAATCGCTCCTGAAGTTTAGAGATGGGAAAAAGGCTTCTTGCAGACTTTGAAACACAGTGCAAAGTACTGACTCCAACTGTATAATTGTCAAAAACCACACTGCTGGTAATGTGATCAGTTAGCTGTAATGTGGAAAAAGACAAGTGACTTAAATCCTGCTTTAAGTTCTGAAGAAGCAATGCAAAGATGAAAATCAACAGACAACACATGATTAATAAGATCAATTCCTCTCTTCTACAGCTCATCGCAGCTGGAGCAGACAAGTTAAAGTTTTGTTTCTTTTTTCTCTGCTGTCCCCTCCGCATTCTGCAGTGATATAATTAGGAAGAAGCCAAAAAAGTCTGAGCCCATTGTCATTAATATCAACTTGTATTTACAACTTTTCAATACAATGAAATTACTGCAGTAATACAAAAAATGTGCTGTCATTCTTCCCTGCTCTCTTCATGGATCACATTGACCAAGTAGTACCTAACTTTGTTTCCACGTTATGTATTGATTGCCTTCACTCAGAAAACCTCTAATTGGAACATTTCAGTATTTTGAAAACTTAAATTGTTGCCATGTTATGTACTTCTACAGCTTTTTGTCTTTCTCTATAATTATTATATAAACCTCTCTTTATTTACTTCAGGTAATCAAGGGTGCTTCATGTTGCAACCGGGAAAGCATGAATTCCCATTTAGCTTTCAACTACCACAAGGGTAAGTAACAGGCATAACAATATTTAACATGAGACATATTTAAACAAATATAAATGGTACAGATTCTAAATTTATCATATTTAATACTCAGGCCTTTGGTGACATCCTTCAATGGGAAATACGGCAGTGTTAAATATTGGGTGACAGCAATATTGGAGCGGCCGTATGTGCCCATCCAAATTGTGAAAAGAGAATTCTGTGTGACAAGTCAAATTGATGTTAATGCACCAAATTTTCTGGTAAGTTGAGTGGGGTTTTCTTACACTATTTTTGTATTTTTTTTTATAACTGAACTACTGTCATAAGGGAGCCTTTATTTAGATATTGCACATACTAACCACTTGCCAAGGCATTTATCATAACTGCTCTTTTTCTACCATAATAGCTGGATGGTCAAATTGAAAGTTTTTTTTTAATGTCATATGCAGCCAGCAAAGAAGAATCACCTAGACTCAAATCGTTAGCTAGCTTTCTGTCTATGGACTGCTAACAATACAGTTAAGATAAGGTGATGATATTTTATCCTGTCCAGCATCCTGAGTTCACCAAAATGTGGCTCTTGGGCAAAACCTCAAGTGGTACTTGTATTTGCCACTTGCTGATTTGCTGCTTTGCACAAATAAAGCAACTGATGGTGTTTGTTGACCTATACAAACTTCCCAGAATTCATTGTATTGGTGGCCAGAATCAAAATTGACTTTTGAAGTTTCAGAATCTGCAGTTACATGCAGATGAGAGCTCTATTAAGGTTCCAGGGCAGTCCAGTAAGATTGGCCCTGAAATGGTTCAACAATAAGAGTGCAGTACTAACTGAGATTGAAAACGATCTATTAGTGGAAAATTGTAAGCTGGCTTTTGACTATCATTAAATGGAATGTAAATGAAGTTAATATAGTGGAAGTTCTTAGTAAAATTATTCTGGGGGTCTTTCTCCATGATTCTGCCATGTTATTTATTAAACAATTCAATCTGACTACACATGAATCAGCTCTCAAAGCTGAACACTTCTGTTTAAGCAGATTTATAGATTAAGTTAATTGCCAAAGACTTTACTCAAATTGACTTGGAACTGTTTTATTCCAAATCTCCACTCTACTAAGCTGTAAAGAAGACAAGTTTAATTTGGCATTAATGCTTCAGATTTTTGTCTATCTGTAAATAACATTTGTGAGAATATTCTAGTTTTTCTTCACAAAAAATACTGTGATAAATACTGAGTCAGTAACTATCACTTTCCTTTTTAGTCTTCAGTGTCAAAAAGTAAAGAGAAGACAATTGGTTGTTGGTTTTTTACCTCTGGACCAATATCCCTAAGTGCCAATATTGAGAGAAGCGGGTTCTGTAATGGTGAGTTAAATACACTTATTTTTATTTCTTTTTGTTGTAGGACTTTTCAACATTTTTAATCGCAAGTTGTTTTGCAACAGGTGAAGCAATCCCAATCTACGCAGAGTTTGAGAATTGTTCCTCACGCCTTATTATGCCAAAAGCTGCAATTTTTCAAACACAGACTTACCTTGCAAATGAGAAAACCAAGACCTTTCGACAAATGATTGCAAACGTTCGTGGAAACCATGTTGCTTCTGGTAGTACAGAGTCATGGAATGGGAAAGCTCTTAAAATTCCACCGGTGACTCCCTCTATCCTAGACTGCTGTATCATCAGAGTGGAATATTCTTTAGCTGTAAGTATATTAATAACATGCTAAAATAAATCAGATTTCTGAAAGTACCTAATTGTACTTTTTCAAACACCCTTCCTATCAATGAATTTAAGATCACAAATCAATGAGCACACAAAGGCTGCGAAAAATAATGTAATCTCTTAATCATCCCTCTCTACAAAAAGGTTAGCTATTTTTTCCTGAGACAGTAGGAACTGCAGATGCTGGAGAATCTGAGATAACAAGGTGTAGAGCTGGATGAACACAGCAGGCCAAGCGGCATCAGAGGAGCAGGAAGGCTGACATT